TCTGATACCAGGAATTACAATGCACCATTCTGATCTCCAAAACTAAGACCTGGACACTATGATCTTTGTGTTCTGTCATCTCCAGAAAACAGTATCCAAGCTGATGCTCATCTCTTAAGTGTGTGTCTAAACCCAAAGCTTGGCACCTTGGCCTCACATCCCTATCTTCTGGACTATATTTCATGCAGTGCTGCCTGTCCTCCCTAAATTGGGAGCCCAGTCCCCACCTCTGTGGTGATGTATCTTATACCATGAGCTTTCTGCTATGCTTCCTGCTTACTGCATTCCTGCAACTGTCTTCTGAGATGGAGTTGGGGATGTAATGCCATGTGTGGTGTACCCTGCCTTGTCTGTGTGATGTGATGGCAGGAATGCCCATCTCTCTCTGTGTGCAGGATCTTCAGAGAAAGTTCCCAGATGTGAACAGGCAGAGACTGAAATCCCATTACCACTTTTCCAGTGGTTCTGCCAGATATTGGCAACCTCTAGAGGAAGTATAATTTTCTGTGTTCACCTAAAAATTTTATATAAAGTATCTTCCTAGGCTTGGAGAGGTCTGATGATTCACCTGCTGCTAAAACAGTGATTATCTATGGGTAGATGTAATTAAAAGACCAAAAGGTATCTGCCCACAGTAGCATGGCTTCCACCTTGGTGTGATCTTTTGTACTTGTCAATTAGAGTCATGGAACTATTGCCAGTAGTTTGCGTTCTGCAGAAATGGAAATGAAAAGGGAAGATCCCCACATGCCATGGCTCTTGCTGGAGGATTGTCTGATGCAGAGGGCTTTTAGCTTGGGTGTTTTTGTCTGCACAGTGCTGCTTCTTCTTTGACAAAAACAGCCCAGCACACCCTTCTTAAAGCCTTTCTCCCTGGATCCCTACACATTGTTTCACAGGTGTCCATAAATACTGAGTTTGTCTGATAGTTTATCAAGGTGCCTCAGGTCAACTCAGACAGGTCAGCATCATCACAGGACCTCAAGGCTCACTCTGTGTGTCTGTGCTGTGTAACTGAGAATGAGGAAACTGCCTTAAACTGGATCTACTCTGTCCCATCAAGGTCCTTCCAGAAGATGTCTCCATCCCTGGAAATACATATACCTAGATCTCTGGGAAAAAATCTTCCAAGGGAACTGTTGCTCAAGATAAAAGCCTGGGGAAGTGAAATTTGTAAATTCCCTAGATGAATATGAATACTGTAAAACAGGTTTTATCTAAAAATATATATTCAGCTCAAATAAAAATGATCCTCAGTTGTAACTAATTTATTTTAAGGTTCCTTCCAACCCTGTGATTCATTCAATAAAATAATGAAAAGCAGCTCTACCACAATACAGTGACTTTGCAAACTCTTTGCTCATTAATACTGTGTTAATATTCATAATATTGAAAGATAGTTTCCACTTTCCTTAGCTTTGAATAGGGCATTTAAGGTAACCTGTTACATTTTTTAGTTAGCTTTTGACCCATTGATTTCCATTTCCGTACTTCAAAAATGTAGTGTAAACATACTGCAGATCAGGGCATCAAAATCTGCAATTGTGGACTTCAGACCTTTCTCATCAATAGTGAAACCCAAATTGAAAGAGATTATTTTAAAATAGCGGAGAAAAACTCTTTCAGAAAAAGAGTTTCAGAATTTATTGTTAATTGTGAATGAAGCAGCTAAGTTACAGTTAGAAGATTTTTCTGATTTGTATTCCCTGAAAACTATATTATTTATTATAGCTTTAATTAATTCTTTATTTGTTCATCCTCAGTGGGAAAGAAACCAAGTATTCCTCTAGTATGTAAAATTACTAGAAGCTATAAATTAGCATAAACAATTTTTCATTCTTCCTTCTTAAGAGCAATATAGATATATATATATTCTATTTATATGCTATAATTGCTGTTGGATGCATATGAATAACAGACCCACTTATTCTATTTGGCTCAGATACTGGGATTCCCCCATGTCCCTCACTAGCCTTTGCCCTTCCTCTCTTCCAGCTAGCAAGATGCAGAAGAGAGGCAGTGATTTCCAGCCTCAACTTCACAGAGGCTGGCATTGTATCTGAATGTTAATGCCTCATGCAGCTCGTGATGCCTGATACTTAGTAATGCAGCTTTAACCTTTATAATAGACTTAATTTGATTTTCAAACTAAACCATCTATATTTTCTTCTTGTTGCAGCCTAAGTAGCTGTGAGGAGTAGTGAGAACAGACAAATATAATCACCACGCAGGACACGGAGAAGGACAGAGAGATGAATCACAAATTCCCATCAGATTTTTCAGATTTTAGCCTTGTTATTACTATTTGGTTCTAATGTCAGGAAATGAAAGAAACATGAAGATATTTTGCTGTGATGTTGGTGTTAGCCACTCAGATGGCAGAGCGCTCAAAAAGTCAGCAGCTTGTTTTCTAAGCTGATATTGCAGTTGTTACTCTAAAAGAGCACAGAAATAATTAGGTAGTTGTTAAGTAAGTATGAAAGGTAATCAAATAACTGTAATCTATGCTTTTTTTTTTTTTTTTATTTAGCCACATTTTAAATGAGGAAAGACATTTCAGGGTGAAACTAAGACTGCAATTGGGTTCTTTTAGCCTTTGCCACTGTTTCAGGTATTGTTTAAAAGTCATAACTCACATTTCAATACCTTGTTTCTGTAAACTTAACTGTCTGTATGTTCTACTGTCACACAGGGGCATAAGTTAGTCCACATACATTTAAACTACAAAACACAGAGATCACAGAGTCAGTCATTGTTACTCCATTCTTGTGACATATACAATAGATGGTACAATTGGCAGTCTTCAGTGCTGTGCCAGGTTTATCATGTAGATCCATAGGATATGCTAGCCATACCAGAAGTGAAAAAGATGAGTTGTCTTGCAGAGTTTTGTCATCATTAGTTGAGAAAATTTTCAAATGAGCAGTGGAGTCATGACTGAGTACTACAGATCAAAAAAGCTGATAATGAAATACTTACTTCTTTTGTAACTGTGCTGTGTTTTGTATGTAGCACAACTTTTATACGAAATGTTTACTCTGGTGATGAGGGATTTGTGTGTAGTGCTTGACACCAACTTTTTGAATTTGTAACATGATTGTATCCAGATACTCCAAAGGGTCTTATTATAGCCTCAGATGTTGAATGTATGGTACAGAGTCTAGCATCCTTCCAATGCAAGTGTTTATCCTGCGAGAAAATCTTGTCCACCAAATATATCTTTTGATCTTTTATTTAAAAAAAAATGCAACTGCTAATCTAGGATGAAGCTTGCCTAGCCTGACACCTGGACAGGTTTAATCCAAGAATAATGAATAGCTGAAAAACATTTTCAGGAGAAGCTGATTTTATTTTTAAAGACAACTCTGTAACATAGCTGGACTGCAGGAGGCGGTGGTGGTGGTGGTAATTATACACAGCATGAGAAACATAAAGTAGTGAGTTCAAAGTAATTGAAAAGATCAGTTGGTCATGGTGGAGTTATCCCAAGGCTGCAGTTTATACCATACTAACAACTGTGAGCCTTTCTGTCTACTAACCTGCCTAGATTAATATAGCAATAATAATTGGATAGACATGGATAGCAACGAGATTATGACATTCTTGAAATAAATTACCTTTCTTAACATGCATTTGTAGATTCCAAAAAAAAAAAAAAGTGGTAATGTTACAAATATCTAATAAAAAAAGTAAAAACTTGAAGCTCTGACGTTTTTTAGTTACATGATACTAGAGTAGACTTTACTTCTTACATGACTGATGGCTTTGGCAAAAGTAGAATTTGTTATCCCTGTTGGCATTTAGTAATGTGTTTGCTTTATCAAGTATAGACTGGTTTTCCAGACCAGTTTTCTGACTAAGCCTTCATTCTCTCCTCCATTTTTTTTGTCTTTTGGCTTTTTAAGTTGCATATCAGAGGTGTCATTTTGCCTATAAGGTGACCCTATATACAAATAATTCAGTATGATTTTTTTAGTTAGTTCAGGGGTCAGGCATGCAAAATCAATTCCATGTAAATTTAGCCAGGTGGTAAGTCACATAAATTAACAATTTATGTTTGGAAGTAGTAAAACCAAGAGACATTTAATTCTATCTCAACAAAATGGGAACTGACCTTTTCTTAACTAATATCAACCAATGCAACCATCTGATCAAAAGGTAATACAAGAGATACCAACTGTGATTGTCTTGTCTTCCTTCTTCTAGCATTTTACTTTTCCACAGTTAGCCAACACCCCCATCTACCCACCAAGAGTTAAAGTATATGTATTATTTGTCTAGGCCACTTGGTCACATCTAGATTTGTAATAATTTCTTCTCTTTATCGTATAAATCAGTTGTGGATTTTTAGAGATTTTCATATGTTTTGCATTTACTTGTTTCATCATAAAGAAGACCTGTTTAAACTGAAAGAAAAAAACTTTCCTTAGCAATCCTGTAAAAACTTATAAATTCTAATGGGAGAATTCACCAAATATTAGTCTTTTCCCACCCATTTAAAAAGGTGATCTAGTGAAGGAATGGGATTTAAATTTTATCCTCATTTTTGTTTTGAAAGAGAATGCTGTTGTTTGTTTCAAACAGATTTAGCTTGAAGTGTACAAGAGCTAGATGGTATTAAAGTGACTTGCATTTGAAAAGTAGGTAAAATAAACTCATGGACTACAGATGCTGAACTAATACAATTAATCAAAGGTTATTTTGTTCTTGCTAGAGACAACTATTATTGCAGCATGCAGGTTTCTCTGATGAAGCAAAAAGTTTGTAGCATAAACTGCCAAGTTAGGCCAATTCAATTTATTTGATTGGAAAAAACTTATTTCCTAATACCTATCATTATTTTGGCATATTATTAATCTCTGTACTACTGTGCTCTGTCATTGTAATAAACATTCTTCCATATTACTGCAGTTTTCTCCATTAAAAAGAAAAGCTAGTTATCAATAGTGAATAAAAGTATGACTCTTTACTTGATTTTACTTTGTTTTTTCTTTTTATAGAAGCTGCAAAGAATCGATCCTCCTTACTGTTGTTCAACCTTACCCTGTAAGTATTGTCAATGTTTTCTGAATTAGTTTCCTAGCAACATAGCAGCTTCTTTTTCTGCCCATATTCTGTTTCTGTCCCTATATTATCTGTGCAATAAAAAGAAGTGCAATAAGGGCTGTGTCTATTAAAGGTGGTGTTTAAGATGGCATTACTGCGTCCTGTACTCAAAGGCTACATAAGTAAATTTAAAAATAACAGTCTTTAAACTCAAAGTGATCGAGCAGAATTCTGAGTTCTGCTTCAATTTCTTGTTTGTTGCAGCTCCTGGGTTTTTCTTGATTCTGCCCTGGTGGCACACAGTTGGGCTGCTGCAGCAAACCAGCTGTATCTTACCTAAGGGAGGGCTCTGTCTGTATCTCCAGCTTGTGGAGGTGAAGGAAGAGCAGAGACAGACAGGCAACCATGTGAAGTTGCCTTGAGTGGACTGGGAGAAACTGCAGCCCATTCAGAGCTGCTTGATGCGGTGTGACTTTGCAACTCACTCAGTTGTTTGTGGGAGTGGGTTCATGACCTGTCAGCTCAAACTCATCTCCCATGAAAAAAGGGGAGAAGGCAAGCCAGGGGAGGAAACTCATCTGTCCTGCACAGCCATGTGTACATTGCGGGCTGCTGGGGGACCTCAGCCGTGCTCAGGAGCAATTCAGATTCAGCAGGTCCATTTGGCTCCCTGTCGTTTAGCCTGATACATTGCAGTTTTCATTAACAAGGGATAATTGCATCCTTTTCACACAAGAATAAGAGATGAAGTGGATTTGACACAAAGACTTGAAAACAAGTTTATCTGAGGAAGCTGCCAAAATGTACATCTTGAAAATGCAACTGTGTGTCTTTGTAGTAGTCATTAGCCTTTCTGGTTAGTTTTGAGGTTGCCATGCAGCTTTACTTGTCCTGTACCTTTCTAGAAGTCAATCTGCAGCACACCTAATTTGTGGGGGGAAAAGCATGCATTCCACAGCAAAAGCAGGCAGGGGCTGCCACCCTGAAGTAAGACGTCTGTCAGGAGTGTGATCTGGGATCAGAGATCTGGGATCAATATCAATCACCCTAAATGAAAATGAGGCCTGGTCTGACTAAATAAAGAACCTGTCTGCCTTTAATTCTTGCTGGTTTACAGCCAGTGGTTTAGGTCACAGTGAATATATATAATGGGGGAAAAGAAATCCTCATCCACTTTTTTTTATGCAGATTTCATCCATTGACAGACTTAATTCTTGTCTATAAATGTCAGGTGAAGAAAGGGCATGTGCTTTAGTGCACCTATGTGTAGTCCTTCAAAGTGGCCAGCAAAGTGTAGCACTACATCTGTGAGGTGCTGTGGCCTCTTATCATTGTGCTGCTGGACTGAGAACAAGCCCTGTATGGACTGAATGTAAGGGAAGCTGAAACCCAAATAAATTATGCACTCCGTGTTCAATGGAATACCTTATGGCACAGGTACAGTTCTTCTCCAGGCTTTAACCTGGAAAAGAAGGAAAGTCATGACCAGTCTTGCCTGACCAATGTAGTGGCTTTCTATGAAGTGACTGCATCATTGGACAAGGGAAGGGCTACAGACACCTTTTATCAGGGCTTCTGTAAAGCCTTTGGCACAGTCCTCCACAACATCCTTCTCTCTAAATTGGAGAGAGATGAATTTGTTAGGGGCACTGTTAGATGGATGAAAAATTTGTTGGATGCTCACATCCAGAGGGTTGTGGTCAGTCTCTCAGAATCCCCATCATCAGTTGGGCATCAGTGACAAATGGCTTCCCTCAGGAATCTGTAATGGCACCAGTGTTATTTAATATCTTTGTCAATGATGTAGACAAAGGGATTAGGTGCATCCTCAGCAGATTTATAAGTGAAACCAAGTAAAATGGGATGGTTGACACACTTGAAGGACCAGAGGGACTTGGACAGGCTCAAGAAGTGAGCCCATGGAAATTTCCTGAGGTTTAACATAACCAAGTGCGAGGTGTTGCATGTAGTGACTGGACAAGGGGTAGTAGCTTTGAACTGAAAGAGTGTAGGTTTAGACTAGACATTAGAAGGAAATTGTTTACTCTGAGGGTGGTGATGCACTGGAACAAGGACCCCAGAGAAGTTGCAGACGTCCCATCCCTGGAAGTGTTCAAGGCCAGGTTGAATGGAGCTCTGAGCCACCTTATCTATTAGAAGATATCCCTGACCATGTCAGAGGGCTTGGAACTGGGTGATTTTTGAGGTACCTTCCATTTGTTCAAGCTCTTTGTGAGGCCTGACAAGACAGAATCTACTCCTCTCATTAAGTAGCAGCAAAATCTAATCAATAGCTGAAATACCTCTATGTGTCACTGAGCTAAGGATGGTACTGAAACACTTTTCTGTCAGCCATTTGGACTGATGTGCCCATTTTGTACATGAATTTGCATCAGCCCACTCTGGTATGTCTGTCAGAGTCCCCCAGCTCTACCTCAGCAGACAAAGCACTTGTGGTTTTGGGGGTGATAGACATTTAAGTTTATGTAGGCAAGAAGACAGTCTCTGCAAGAATGTGTGCAGAGCAGCTAGAAGATGAGATTAATGCCTGCATGTTGGTGCTAGCTTTAATTGACTGATTTTTACCCCAAAGTTGGGATGCTTAGTGTAATGAACTGGTTGGGAGGGCCTTGACTGCAGGATTGTTGCACCTGGCAGACGTCATGTGTGCAGTATTATTGTAGCTCCCTACCTGTCCAGACCAGGGTTTAATTGACTCATAGCATCTTCCCCTTACTGCTTTCAGCTTCAATTTTTTTCTGCAGTGGAAGCAAAGGTGTCGGTAGGGATGTGGAGCAGTTGGGATGAAGGCAGCTTGTGCAGCCAAGCTTTGGCCCTGAAGCAGTGCAAGACCCCTCAGTTTATGCAAACCTTGGGCTGCAAGGTTGCCTGGGTAGTCCTGAGTCACTTGGAAGATCTGGTCCATGCTGGCCCTCATTCTGCCACGCTGTTACTGTCAGTAGTGCCAGAGCCTGTTGGCATCTCTTTCAGCCTTTGCAACCCCTGGGTGTTGCTGACTCCAGCTGTGTACTTGTCCTGGTCTTCTGTGCAGGGGATCCTCTGGCAAATACAATTTGCCTTACAGTTTGGAAAAAATATTTATGCCTTCAAAAATTATGATGCACATGTATTTTCCCCATTTGTTTAATTTTGCCTCCTCCTTGTTTCCTTTTACTATTTTGCCAATAAAACTGGGATGATAAAGTATAAACCAGACAAAGGAAAATAAGAGCTTTTAAATAAAGACTGAATTTCTTCCCTGTTCTTGACAGAAATACACCTCTACAAACATTTCATTGATCTCTCTTCTTGATGGTGATTTTCCTTCTACCATGAAAAATATCTGCCAAGATGGATTACAAAAGTGCTATTTCTTAATTGGTTTTATTTGTGCTATTTAGAGTGTAGTTTGATTTTGCATTTAAGTAACCATCCTTTATGATTTCAGGTGAAAGCAGATGTAATCTAGATTTATAGTACTCTATAGTTTACTTAGTACTCTTTGAAAGCTTTTGCAGATAACTTTTTCTTAAATGCATTAAGTTTTGTTTAATGCTTAAACACATTAAAATTTCATTTTAATTGTGACTAAGCCAAAGCATTAGGCTATCTTTTACTTTTCATCAATCTACAAATCTCTGTTAGGTTCTTATCACCAGTGCTCCTAAGGAGGTCACCGAGCAGCTCAAGCAGTTAAAGTAGTTCAAAGTTTTGATTTCTGGAAGTATGGCATTTGATTATAATTTCTGACTGTTTTATTCTGTAAATGGACTATCATTCTGATTGTTGCCTTATTAAGTTTTAAGCATTACTTAAATAACTTGCCTGTTTGATATCCTTAAAGATTTTATATGCAGAGATCATTTGATAGATTGCTTTAATGATTAATCTCATAAGCTTCTTGGATAAAGTCCAGGTCTGGCTGAGAGCTATGGCAATTTTGCTGTGCATTAAATTTTGCAATGGAAAAAAGATAGAATCTTCTGTTTTGAAAGAGATGCTTCTTGTTTTAACATGGTTATACTTTTGAAACACAACAGTTGCAGAAAAACTACAATAAATAACATTTATGGATCATAATGCTTGTGGTAACAATCTTATTGAGAGTTTGTGGGACTAATGATCAGACTGTGACTGCCATCTAAAAATGGTAAAATATAAATAATGGAAACAACTAAATACAATTGTCTATGATAGATTGCCAGCTTTTTAAGAGAGAACCCATATCTGAGCACTATTCCAGCAATTAAATTTGTGCCAAGAGTTTAACAAAGAAATACTCCTGATGATCCTCTGTCAGTGACATGTGGTTATCACAAATTACTGTGTGGTAACACTTCTCCACATTATTTTTTCCATGTCCCTACTTGCTCTTCTACAATGCTCTTGTGAGCCAGTGTAGTCTTTTCAGCCTTGTTCACAGCTATGAATTACCATATTTAGTTTGCCTTTGGGCATTATGTCCTGTTCCACTTAATAAATGTAATTCTTCCTCTTACTCACCTTTTATTTGCTTGTTAAATACTGCTGCTTGTAATTGCCGTTAGCAGTGTACCAAAAAGTCAACACATTTTTTGTACTTATGCAATTTTTCCTTATTTTCTAGCAAAGTTAATATTTTGAAATTAAACTAATGACTGGTTTTAGTCAACAAGCTTAAAATTTATTGCATATATACACTCTGTGACTATTTAAAAACTATAGTATTTCTGTAGTTTTAAATGAAGTATTTCTAATTTTAATGCTTACTGTCACAGAGCAGGTTTTCTTTTTGCCTTGTTATTGTCCTATACTGCTGTCATTCTATTTCTTTATGATTTCTCAGTACTACACTGTGCTCTTCTAGCTACTAATTCCTTTTTTTTTCTTGAGAATGAGCAAAGGTTTTGCTGTTGCAGCACCTCTGCTAGTGAGAGCACTCAAAGAGGCTTTTTCAGCAAATAAAACCCCCTTCCTTCACAATCTATAGTTTTTTATATATATATTTTATATATGATATATATTATATATTATATATAAAAATATATATATATAATTTTCCTTTACAAATTATAGTTTACCTGCAAAAGTGCTTGAAGCACTAGGCATTTTTACTTGCATCAAAAGTTTCCTTCATAATGTAGGATATTGTTTCTAAAATCTATCAATAAATGACCTGCTCTAATGCTGCTGACAAATATAGGATCTAATTTTGAGAAGTCTAAAAAATGAGAAATTAGCATTTTCCTGAAAGTCTACTCTGCAATCTTTTGTGTTTTAACCTGCTGATGGAAAACCCATTGATTGCAGTCAGGGTTCAAATAGGGTCTAGGTCTTCACTTTTATTTCCTCAAAGTATACCTCTGCAATGCTGCATTTTTCTTGTTAGCAGTTTCTCTAGGCAGTCTTGAAATGATCAGCTGATATTTTCCTTTGAATTCTATGTAAACAAGTAAAAATTATTTAAAATCCTGATAAATTTGAGCTTTTAATAGGAAATAGGTCTTAGGTCACACAGAGTAAAGTTTGGGGGTTTTGAATTATTTTGAATCCTTGTTAAAATGTGTGCCCTCATTTTACAAAAGTCACTCTAATTAAGCTATTTTTATATGTGACAATGCAAATACTTTACTTGCAGTGATAGATGTCCTGCATTAGTGTAAACACCTCCTGCTTAAGGTCATTAACTGAGAATAATGGCTAAACACAGAACATCAACAAATAAATGAATTATTTTCTGGCACTATGTAAGCATTAAGTGATAGGATTCTTCTACAAACCTAAAGACATTAAAATACAATAGAGCTGCACATCATCTTGCTGAGGCTTTATTAGACAGGCAAGTTCCAGCAATCAAACCCAACTATTTTCCCAGGTATTTGCACATCCTTTGGAAACACTTCTATTCCCAATGAGAAAATGTCAAGTTGATGCAGAGGTAGAAACAATGACATTGCACAATTAAATGCAAAAGCTGTGCTATTACTCAAACCTTTAACCAGCAGAGAATGTTCTTCCACATACCTGTCACAGCTGTTTCATTTTCTTACAGCCCTAGTTATAGTTTGGAGCTTTTTGGAAAACAGTCTGCTCCAGGCTCGCCCGGAGTGCCTGGCAAAGGGCCAGAGTCCTTCCCATGTCGCCACAGCGAAAGTGGAAATGAAAGAAGCACCATGTTTCATGGTAGACAATGGCATGCTCCCCTGGCTGTGCAATAGCTACATTAAACCCCACATCCCAAAGGGGGTCTTGGGAGCCCACATATGTTCAAATCTTTAGTTGTCTAATTACGTTTTTGCAATAACATAATTTAAGTGTTTATGCCTCCTGCAAGTGACTTTCGAGGCTGTAGAGAGAAAAAGAAAGACGTTGTAGAGAGTAATAGGGACACATAATGGTTTGCTAGATTTGCTGTATGGGATTAACCTTGCCAGAATCCAGAAAAAGTTTGGCAGTCTGCCTGTTAAGAGAGGCTAGACTGGTGACTCATCTGTAATAAGAGCAAGCAACAGTACAGAGATTTTTTCAAGCAAGAATAGTAAGAGAAAGCCACTGTTTTCCCCATGTTCTTGCAAGGAAAAGCCAGTAGCCTAATCCTGCTGCAACAGTTTGCATTCTATTACTTGGGTGCCAGATAGATTGCAGAGGAGGACTACATGGAGAGGAAGGAAATCAGAGAAGACACCTCTAGAGTTGTTATATTAGTCATGGTACTGTTTTGTACTGTGTCTTTCTAGGAATTAATCTCCAGGGGACAGTATTTAAACTGCTTCAGCAATTTGAAGTTGTCCCCTCTTGCTGAAGAAGTGAACAAGGTCCCCCACCCTGAGATGCTTGTTTTTTTGGGGTTTTTTTTTTGCACTATTCCTTTTATTTTTTTTTTTTGGTGGTCGTTTCAAAACTTCAGGGGACCTTCCACTTTTTTCAGCACTGATTCTGGAAGCTGGGCTTGGTTTGTTCATGGGGCTGAATTATCTGTTATTTACAAGTATTGATTATTGTGTAGTCATATGTGCTAGAGACATAAGAAAGAATGAACTGTGAAAATAAAGAAGCATTATTTTTATTTCTTGATTCTATTTTGTGCCTCAGGAATTACGGGATGTCTCTGATATTTCCTGAGAGAACGTGGCAGTGTTCATTCCCTGTTCACTGGTTGATACTGAGCCTATGTTAATAGTTACCATGTTTTCAATGTGATGATAGATTTGAGGCATGCAGAATTGAGCTAGACTTTTTCCTGCTAGTTACTAGAAACAAGGCTTCTGCATCACAAGAAAATAAATTTTAAAGCAGAGATCAGAGACATATTGTTTCTACCTTGGACTACTCCATTACTCCTGCAGATTGTCAGTTGAGTCAGAATTTGAGTGATAGTAACGAGACTTCCCATGTTTACATGGACAGCTTTCATGCCACACTGATAATCACCTCTTGTGCCTCCACTTATTTCTCACAAGAAAACCAATATGATGTAAGTCTTTATTCAAAACTGGTAAGACCACTTCTCAGGACTTAGAGTAAGATTCTGAAATTCTTAATTCATATTTTCATGAAACAAATGGATCAAAACCTGGCCCAAAAGAGCCCAGTGACTTCCAGCCAAAATGAGAAAGTCTCCATTGCCCATTATCACAGTTATGAAGTGAGGCAACGCCAGAAGCACTGTGTTTGTAACTGACCTGAGAATAAACCAACCTCACTTCGGCTGCTGAAAATAGAAATCCCATTGAATATTTAATTTGTTACTAAAAAGTAGCTGTTAATCAAATTTCTCAAATGAGGAGATTTTTTTTTTCCCCCAGGGCTGAAAACAGGTGAACTTATTGCATGATGTAGTAGGTAAAAGTCAGGTAGGTCCCAGAAGAAAATTCGGAATGCTTCTACACTTCTAATCCATGAAGCCCTACAACATGTCAATACTGCTGGCATGCCTTGCACAGGGTGTCTTTAAGAAATGCCTTCAGGGGAAACCTGATGGCCTGCACGTGCCTCTTGGTGCTTTTCACCTGTGTTCTGAAGTGGACAGATACAATGAGATGCCACTGTATTTGGAGACCTCATAGACACTTTTTTTTTTGCAAAAGTTGTGTGTATGTCTATCCAGTAGATCACAGATTATGCAAAGATTTTCCATTCAGTCTGTAAAGAAAGGGTCACTGGTAGGTTTCTGGTCAGTGTCCCTTCATGCAAGCAAGGTTGGGTGACAGCAGTCATTGCGGGAGCACTACAGGATTTGTGTGTGCTGAGAGCCTTCTCATCCCTCCAGTCTAACAGTGGGATAATTTCCAGTATATTCAGTATGTACTGATGTTTCCTTATATGTATGTACATAGAGGTTAACTTAGGATGCATAATGGTTTGACTGCATTTCCATTCTTCTGTATGCAAAATGTTACTGTATGCATGGGTTCCCAGCATATAAGAAACAGCGGGAATAACAAAAAAGGAAAGAAAGATTTTAATTTTAAGTTATGTGATATATCTTGTCATCATCTTTTCTTCCAGTCTCCTAAATCAGCTTTTATTAGTGCTGCAAAAAAGGCAAGATTGAAGTCCAATCCTGTTAAAGTGCGCTTCTCTGAGGAAGTAATTATCAATGGGCAGGTGTCGGTGAGTATTCAGCTGTTTAACCTCAGAAAGGGTTGTGCATGTCATCCAAAGGTACAGCAAAGGGAGAAAAAGCAGTGACAGGCTTGCAAAGTGAAGGGTTTTTCTGTTTCTGAAGTTTTCAAAAGATAATTAAGCTGCTAGTGAATGAATTTTGTGGTGTTAACACATATATTTGTCTTTATAGTCTTGATAGTGTTTGTCTGTTGGTTTCTTCAGATCAACTTTGTTTTCATAAAATCCATAAGCTCAAGAGAGGTACCCTGTCAGAAAAACTGATTAAGATTTTAATTTTAAAACTGATTAACCTTACAGACTGCTTTAAAATTTGTTTTATCTCCTTGAACTTATTGTTTCCAGACCTCAGGCAAAGTCAGCCTCCCTTTGAGAGGCACTGAGCTCCTCCTCAGACATGAACTCCCAGCTCATTTTCATAATTCACCAGAGCATCATTCTACACTGATGTCTTTAGCCAACTCTTCTCCAAACCTAAATTGATACTGCATTTTTTCTAAAGCAATTTCTCCTTTTTAAAATAAAAAGAAGCAAACAAAATATTCAAAGATTTGTTTTCCTTCCTTTTTCCTCTTTATTTTGCTACACTGGTTATGAATCATCAAATTAGGTAGCAATGTTATATATTTCTCTACTTAAATGATGAAAGAAATAGCAGCATTTAATATCCCCCTATGAAGAACATGTTAATTACCTTGATTGTAATCCTTAATAACAAACTGTAGTTTCCATTTTTTAGATTGAACATACTAAATAGCTCACTATATTCAGAGAAACAGTAATCCATCTTTCTATTGTAGTGAAAATGTTTTAACTTCAGAGGCAATACTTATTGTCAGACAGATAATATTTAGGGAAAGAGAGTACTCCAAGGCAGACATAAAATGTATGTGAACGGTCATATTTTTCCCAGACAGAAACCTGTAGAGGGCAGCTGTAATGAGTCTGGCTAGACCCTTGCAGGGCACAGATATTTCTACTTTCAGTTTGGGCCAACACCTTCCTTCTCAGTTTTTGCTTTTCTGTCAGAATGATGTACTTGATAGAACAGCGTTTATATTTCTCTTGTTGCATGTTGTAATCTGATTCACTAATTTGCTTGACAGGAAACAGTTAAGGACAACTCACTTCTTTTCATGCCAAATGTTCTAAAGGTATATCTTGAAAATGGACAAACCAAATCTTTCCGTTTTGACTGCAGCACTTCAATAAAGGTAAGATAGCTATTCCTTGGTATGAGACCTTCAGCAATTATCATTTACTTGGAATGCTTTAAGAACAAAATTACTGGTGTGTTCAGTTTGAGCTGTCTCTTAGTTAAAAAATAATGAGGATTTGGTCCCTTTTTCTGCTCCTAAAAATGTATTTTATTGTCAGCAAAGAAGAAGTGATGATTTTAATATGCTTGGAGCACAGTCAAAATTTTGTGCTTGTATCATTTTGATATGCTGCTGAACACTAGCATGATTCGTCAGCAAAGTCAAGAGCTAAGAAGATTAAGATACCAGTTACTGATTGAATATCATCCAGCTTATCATTCAGTGAATTTAGGATGGAATATTGTAGGATTATGTTGGTGATAAATTACTCACCTCAGCGCAGTGCCCTTTACACTTTCCATAGCACATTTCACATGCAGAAACAAAAAGGTAAAGCCCTGGCACAAAACTGAGTCTGCCAGGGAACGTCTGTGACACTGTTCCATGTGGGTTCCTAAATCAGAGGCATCATCAGTGTCAGTGAGAGCCCTGGAGTAGCACGGTAAGCAAGCAGAGCTAGCATTACTGTTTGGGGAAGCTACTTTCAGCACGGATTGGTTACCAAATCTACCTCATTGCATGACAGCATGCACACTTGGGACACTGAGACATGACAGGGGCATGGGTGAGATGATCGATGAAGGCTGGGGATACCAGATTTAGCTAGATTTAAGGGATTGTAAAACCAGGCATATTAGAAGAAAGGCTGCCTTTGTGCTCACTGTGATACAGCAGCATGCTCAACCAGTTAGAGCAGCAAAGATTTATTTACTAAGGCAGACAAGAAATTTACTCCAGTCTGATGGCAAAATAGATGCTAGAGTCACACATAAAAATGTCATGCAACATTTGTTAATAAATGTAGCATATATGCCTTAAGTTGAGTTCAGGTATGGATACAAGCATTCCTTCCATGGGATACTGAATTCCTTGAGTTCATTTGAAAATTTGGCTGGTGAAGAAATAGGAGACATTACTCACATAGGTAGTGAGGTCTCCATACCCTTCCAAGGTGCACAAGCCCATTTTCTAGTATTTTCTGTTATAAGCATAAAACAACCAACCTATTCCAGGATGTTTTGCCCCTGAAGACCAGTCTTTGGCCATCACATTACATTAGTTTTTAGTAGTTCTGTCATGGATGTGTCACGTACTGTCAAACCAAATGTCAAATCTGAAGTCATTGGCACGGATACCCATGTGGACTCAGTTACCTAGCTGTATTGATGTTGTAAACCTGCTTTGAATGTAGTAATTTTGATTATTGGTAAGAATAATTTCCTTTGCATCTAATTCAGGCAATTGCATATTCTGAGGCCTGCAGATATAAATGACATATTCTTGCATCTGTGTGTATATGTGTGGATGGGTGGATGTGGATTGTTGCTTCTTGGCTTAACTGGGGTGACATGACCCACGTGAGTCAAGGTAAATGCAGGTTTTTTCACCTCTAGCAGTCCAGTAGTTCACCACTTTAAAATAAAGGTGCAAGCAGCACCTAACCTGCAGTCCTCACTTTCCATATTGCTGGGTCACGGCACCCAGCTGACTTTTAAATTATCAGATGAGAGGAAAAGCAAAATCTTTAGTGCAGTAATTCAGAGGCTGTGTGCCTTAGCCTCATATTTTAAAAGGCCCAGAAGAGATAGTGGTGTAAAGCAGTGCTGTTACTACCCTCTCTTAAAAGGTTATATTTAGTATTATGCTGCTTCATGTTACTGTTATGCCCATAGTCTTTTAGCATAGTTTACAAGTATAAAAGTAGATTAAATATGTAAGTTATAAATTCCCCATTGGTCAGAATTATATAATATTAGCCTTCATTATTTAGAGTGATAGCTAACAATTCATTAATGCTATCTTATATTCTCTACATTGTAGAGAGCTGTCACCATCTTCCCACATACATTTTTTCATCTTTCCACCAGTTTGGTCTTGATTTTCCATAAACATGCTATAATTGATCAATTAATCTTCCTAAATTATGTTAAAACACTTGGATTACAATTCATCATGATCTTAGTAAATCCTATCCATCTGGATACTTATGTATATCTGAAAATCTTTCAGATGGAAGAAAATGTTTTAATCTTGTCACCAACATACTGTGAAACTATTTCTAAATGATGGGTTTCTATGTATTCCTTTTTCCTACAGCATTCACTAAAGAAAAAGATACCTTGACAAATTATATTAATAATCTGCATACACTCACAAAGTATTATATAAAAGTAAGGTAGGGATTAGTTAAACGGTTTTGTGAAGAACTTTGTTTAGCTTTTATTTTAGATACAGTCACTCCCAAGTTAACTATCCTTAGTCATAATTCAGTATGAAAAAAGCTAATCGGGAGTCTCTAAAAATTGATATGGTCCATCAGTTTAGAGCTATTGCTCTGCACAGATATCATCTCTGACTTTTCTGTCAGCATTTAAAACTCAAGAAATGAAATTTTAAAAAACCATTTGCCATAAAAACAAATAAAGGCCATTCACCTAAATTTTTTTGTTGAATTTATAAATTTGGTCTGTCTGCTTGATGACGTGGCTCCAAAACAAAGGGGAGGGAATAGCAGTAAGATCACGTCTCCTTTGCTGATGAGTTTTATTTCCAGGGAGACAGATATGATTTATCGGCCACACCAATATGATTCACATGTTAAATCACAACAGAATGTTGTCCATTCCTGGCAATCCCATTTATGTATTTCTCATGTTCATATCTGTTACCATCTTGGGGTTGTTTGAGGAATTGTTGTCATGTCCTGGAAACTTGTGCAAAATAGGCACAAAGCCTGGGCTTCTGCCCTGTGCTGGGTACATCCAGGGTGTGTGGCAGTGAAGAACTGGGTCCCAAGCATTTCATGAATTTAAGCGCTTTTTATAAATCCTTTGTTATTTAGGATGTCATCTTAACACTCCAAGAAAAGCTTTCCATCAAGTGTATTGAACACTTCTCCCTAATGCTGGAGCAGAGAGTTGAAGGATCTGGAACAAAACTTCTTCTGCTACATGAACAAGAGACTCTAACTCAGGTTTGTGTAATGGTATATGAAAACAGATATTCATGAGACAGCTTAATCAGTAAATTACCCGTTTTTTTCATTGCTCAAATGAGTTAGCTGCAAGCTTTTTAGTTTGATACAGACTATCAAATAGCTAGGATATTTAGATGTGATTGTAAAAATAAGGTTCTCACAGGAATTTTGTGTTATAAAAGTGTTATAAAATTTCATTGAACCTTTCAAAAACATTAAGAATTAAAAAGTCAGATTGAAATCTGAAAAATGCCTTTGGTCTCACACAAGGCTCAGCTAGTGAACATACCCAACAGCTGGCAAATCCATGGTAACAATTCCGAGAAGCAGAGTCTGCCTAAATTTCTTTAAAAGCTTTATTTTGGTATTTTGTTCCAATTTGATTACACAGAGCTGTATCTCTGTGACAGGGAATAATCCTCTTTCTGATGAAGTTAAATTTGGCTTGTTTACACAGAGGTACATTATGTCACTTCATTGATGATGAAATGTGGCAGAGAAAATGTTGGTGTGACTTTCTTCCTTGGATCAGGGAAGCGTGACTAAAGTTAAAGTTTCTTCACAGTTACCAGCAGAGTACCCTGATTTTATCTGCTTATAATTTTGCCAAATTTTTTAGCCTGAAATTTTTCTATTATATTTCTGTGTTTCATGAGAACATTAGTATTTTTTTTTTTATTTCAGTTAAATTTGAAAAAGAAGGAAAAAGGAGAAATGGAATCTTAGAAGTGGAAAATGACTTAATTTAAATGACAGAATTCCTGTAATTATAACTAGAGTCTGTGTAATTGTGTGAAGGAGCTTAGTTTAACAGATAACAGTCTTTCTAGCATTTTCTAACATTTAAGCACTTGCCCTTGCCACGTTAGCATTCTTTTCTTGTGGGTACAAGCTACTCAGTGATTGAACAATATCCAGAAATACTCAACACTTGTCCTCTTAGCCCAGCCATCTCCTTGAAGTCATTGGTAATTCTCACTGAAATCAGAAAGATCAGAATAAACCATCTGGAACTTTTATAAATATGTACAGAGTATGTCTATATACTTAGGAAAGAGGTGAGACAATGTGCAATAATAGAACTTTTGAAAATTATTTGAGCAAGACAGAGACTTCTATTGGAGATTTTTAAAACTACAGTTTTGTCAAGTAAATACGTTGATTTTAAAGTACCCTAACTCTCTAACTACATTAGCCTAATGAATAAATTACATAAACTACATTAATTCTGAGGGTCTCTTCTGTGAAGTTACAGTAAAAACAGCACTATTTTAATTTTCCATTATAATGTTGCTGCTGACCATGACTTACAATGGTGAGTTTGGATTGTTATCCAATTACTCCTTTGCTAGGCAGTGGTCT